CCTTTGTCATTTTGGATACTGACAAGAGATTGAACTTGAATGCTGGAACACAAAGAACATCCTTAAGAGTGTCACTTTCTGTAAGTTGACATTCTCCCATGTGTGAGATTGTGGCTGAATCTCCAGTAGGCAACTGAACATGTCCTGTGTTTCCTACTGATTGTTTATGATGTAACAATTCTTTAGAACCAGTCATATGATTCGTAGCTCCTGTATCTACAATCCACTTACAAATTACCATATTTTCACATAGCTCTACATTGCCACAAAAGCATTTACCTGCCATGTGAGCACTGACATCTCCAACAAAATTTTTGCTCAGCAATTATAACAACTGGTTGTACTGGTTTTGTGTGAAGAACTGAGCTGGTACTGTTCCATTGCTCGTTTGTTGACTAGCCACCTGTGTGGTTTGAGGCTGTTCATTGAAAAGTACAGCATTTGCCTTTCCCTTTGGCTTGAAATCTGGAGGATAACCCACAATTTTGTAGCATTTGTCCTTCAAATGTCCTGTTTCATTACAAAAATCACACTTCATTAGTTTATAACAGTCTTTGCGAGTATGTCCTTTTAAGTGGCAAAAATCACACTCCAAACTGTAATTTCTCCTTTGCTTGATTCCTAATTGTGCAGTGAATAGAGCAGTAGGCTCAATGTTCCCTGCATTTCCATAATTGACACCAGTAATCATCCTCCTACTTTCGTCTTGAACTACCATGGCATATGCTTTGTTGATAGACGGCAGAGTAGGCATTAAGAGGATCTGACTTCTAGCTTGTTCAAAGCTGTCACTTAATCCCATGAGAAACTGCAACAAACGTTGGTACTCCAGCTGCTCAACATACTCAGCTGCTGCAGGTGGTGGTAAAATGGAGTCATACTCTGCCAATAGATCTCTGAGCTTTGTAAAATAGGTAGAAACAGAACAAATTCCTTGAGTCATAGTAAAAATCTCCTTGTGCAGATAGTACAATCTCGATCCATTTACTTTATCAAATTGCTCCTTGAATGCATCCCACACTGTACAAGCATTAGACGAAAACAGTACTCCAGTCACTAAATCCTTACTAACATTGCTCATCAACCACGAAGTCACAATTGCATTACATCGATCCCACTGGTGTGCTAGCCCAGAGCCAAAATCCTCTTTTGATGTCGATCCATCGACAAGGCACAATTTATTTTTTCCTAACAAAGCTACTTTCATAGCTCGACTCTACAGAGTGTAATTCCCGTCAGTATAAGTCCTATCGACAAGGATCCAGGTCCATCAGAAGGATGTAGATATAGCGGATGATTCGAGAATCGTTGATCCTCCAGCTGAATTGACTCCATCATTAGTAGTACCACTCGATTCTTCAGAAACCGCCATGGATTAGGTCAAATCAAGAGCTAAAAAAATCAATTTGCTGAAAATTAGGGTTCCAACGAATGCAGAAATGAGTGAATTCCTTTGAATTTCCTTAATTGCTCGAAAATTCCTTGGAATTACTCGATTAACTGCTCTGATACCATGTTAAATTCTCACAATTGAATTGATGCCATGATTTTAGAACAGAGAGAAGAGAAAGCAATTTGAGAGAAGAAGTGCAGAGGAGGAAATTTCCTTCTTCGATATATCTGAAAATGAACAAATGTACAGTACATATAACCACTTCCAACCAACTCATGTACAGCTGTACAAGTATTAACTAATTGAACTAACTACAGTTACACTAATTTAACTACAGTTAAGTTAAGAGCCCATGTGCTAAGGCACTACCTGCGTGGACACCTCCTTTACAGTCATNACTGCCTCCGATAGATCTCTCTCTGAGTAACGGGAAGAAACTTCTCCAAGAATAGCTGAGTAAACTGCTCCCAAGTCAAAGCTGGTGATCCGGCTGGTCTAGCCAAATAGTAATCTCTCCACCAAGTCTTGGCGGATCCAAATAAGCGAAAAGTAGCAAAATCGACCCCATTGATATCCACTATCCCCATGTTCCTGAGAACCTCATGACAGCTGTCTAGATTATCCTGGGAATCCTCAAAAGATGCACCACTGAAAGTGGTAGTGAAGAGCTTGGTGAACCTATCCAATCTCCACAAGGCATCAGGAGTCATAGTTGCTCCGTCACCAGCCTGGGCTACCACACCCGGCTGAACTGCTCCAACTAGCTGAGCTGCTGGAGTCTGAAACTGGGGAGTCACCTACTTCGGAGTGCGAATAGCAGGAGTCTGGGCCCCTCGTCCAGCCTGAGAGACGGCTGGTGCTACAGGAAGCAAGCCTGCCTGGGTGACACTCTCCATGAGGCCCACTAGACAGACCAGAGCATCCTGAAGTACTGGGGTAGCAATGAACCCCTCTGGGACCTGAGCTGGGCCCACCGGAGCTGTCTGGGCTAGAACCTCCTCGTAAAACTCAACCTGAGGCTCCGCCACTAGTGCTGTTGCTCCGAGCTGAGCTCTGCCCCTACCTCGACCTTTAGTATGGCCTCGGCCTCACCCTCTGCCCCTCGTGGGAGCTGCTGCTAAGGAATCGGGCTGCTGATCAGCGGATGAGGAAGCGCGTGTTCTCGGCATCTGCGAAAGAACGGAGTAGAAATTCAATTAGCATTGAGAAACCAAACCGCACGACAGGAAAAAATAGATGTAAAGTTTTTCCTAACTCTGTAGCCTCTGGGGGATAAATACAGATGTCTCCGTACCGATCCTTTAGACTCTACTAAGCTTGTCTGTGAATTGTGAGACCTATGTAACCTAGAGCCCTGATACCAACTTGTCACGACACGGTTTTCCCCACCCCTCGGTAGTCGTGATGGCGCCTACTCGTGAAAGCTAGGCAAGCCAACCAACCGAACTATTTACCTTATTTCCATTTTTAAATTCGTTAACAACTAAGAACCAACAATTAATAAAAAACATAATTTAATAAGCGGAAGACTAAATTTCAAATTTTAGTAATGCCACCAATATCAGTACATAACAATCTACCCAAGATTTGGTGTCACAAGTTCAGAGACGATCTAAGAGTACTACAAATAAAGGTCTGAAAGAAATAACAAAATACTATCTCTGGGATTACATAAAAGAAACAGGAGTAATAGATAGAAGGAGACGCCAAGGCCTTCGGACGCCTGCAGGACTACCTCGGGTCGCCTGATGAACAAGGAGCAGAAATCTCACTATGGTCCGAAATCTACAACACTAGGATCTGCACAAAAGAGTGCAGAGTGTAGTATCAGCACAACCGACCCCATGTGCTGGTAAGTGCCTAGCCTAACCTTGGCGAAGTAGTGATGAGGCTAGGACCGGACTACCAAATAAACCTGTGCAGATAAATCATATACAACGAAAGAATAAAAGTAGAATTTTACAGTCAAGGATGGAAGGGGGAAACATGCTGCGGGGAAACAACAATTGATAACAGGAGAACAACAAGTAAACATAAGAAACACCATAACTCAATTCTTAACAAGAATAAAAAATCAAACAAATGCACGGCATCACCCTTCGTGCTTTTACTCTCATCCTCACCATAGAAATCAAAATAAACTGCACGGTATCACCCTTCGTGCTTTTACTCTCATCCTCACCATAAAATCAATATAATCGGCACGGAATGGTACATCGTGCGCCACGACATCACCCTTCGTGCTTTACAATCTTCCTCACAGAAATCATACGCGACATCACCCTTCGTGCTTTAACAGTCTCTCACCAAAACAATGCACGACATCACCCTTCGTGCTTTACACTCTTCCTCACCCAAACAACAATCACAAACAATAAGGGCAAGGAAATAAATGAATCACAATAAGATCCCGGCAAGGGAACAATACCAAAGCAATAACATCCCGGCAAGGGAACAATATTAAAAACAACAAAGTCCCGGCAAGGGAACAATACCATAATCCTCTTCTTCTTTTTTCACTTTTATTTCAAAACTGGATTAACAATTTGAGCCAATGCTCTATAAGGTTTAACTGCCAATTATTCTTTCACAATTCACTTCACAACTTAAGCCAATGCTCCTCAATGTTCAAATATCACCAAAACTTCCACAAACCTTGCCCAACAATACAAAGCATCACAAAAGGCATGAACAATACAAACGGAGTCGCATTAATCACAATATAAGACTCACGGGCATGCTTGATACCACCGTATAGATAATCGTCACCATGCCTATACGTCGTACTCAACAAATAACACATAGCAAATAGGACACAACTCTTAATCCCTCAAGCTAAGGTTAGACCAAACACTTACCTCGATGCCACGAACACAATTCAAGCCTCAACTACCGCTTTACCTCTTGATTCCACCACCAATTTGCTTGTATCTAGCCACAAGTTACTTAACTATATCAATAAATGCTAAATGAATCATTTCTAATGCATGAAATTAGATTTTCTAAAGTTTTTCCCAAAAAGTCAAAAATTGACCCCGGGCCCGCATGGTTAAAACCCGAGGTTAAACAAAAATCCGATCACCCATTCACCCACAAACTCAAATATATAATTTATTTTGAAATCGGACATCGAGGTCCAAATCCCCAAAATTCAAAAAAACCTAGGTTCTACTCAAAACACCAATTTTCCCCATGAAAACCTTTGATTTTGCGTTGAAATCATGTGAAAAGATGTTAGAGATTGAAGAAAGCGAGTTAGAAATAACTTACAATCGATTTGGAGAAGAAATTACCTTTGAAAAATCGCCCTAGAGTGTTTTGGTTTTGAAAGAGTGAAAAATGGTTGAAATGCGTCTAAGTTATGAATTTACAGGTCTCTGATGTCGCAATTGCGACCAAGGTTCGCAATTGCGAACCCTTCAGAACCTGTCAATTTCGCAAATGCGAAGATGTTGTCGCATTTGCGACACAGTGCAAATTCTGGTCAACCTCGCATTTGCAAAGGACCAGGTCGCATTTGAGAAGGATGGGCTTCGCAATTCCCACCACTTTCTCGCATTTGCAAAAAGGGCCTGCCCAGGCTTGGTTCGCAAATGCGAAGCCTGGGTCACAATTACCAAGCCTGAGAACTTCGCAATTGCGAAGCCTGGTCTCGCAATTGCGAGATCAGAGGCCTGGGAAAAAAAATACCAAATACCAGCACTTGATCCTAAGTCCAATTTCACTCCATGGCCTATCCAAAACTCACCCGAGCCCTCGGGGCTCCAAACCAAATATGCACGCAAGTCCAAAAACATCATACGGACTTGCTCGTGCAATCAAATCATCGAAATAACATCAATAACTATGAATTAAGCCTCAAATTCATGAAATCACCTAAGAACATCAAATTTTCTAATTTTCTCAAGTAAGGTCCGATTCACGTCATTTCAAGTTCGTTTCTTACCAAATTTTACATGCTCAACTTAGATCACATATAAGACCTGTACCGGGCTCCGTATCCAAAATACGGGCCCGATACCATCAAATTTCAAACACATTTCATTTCCAAAAACTCATATATTTTTCAGAAAACAATTTTCTTTAAAAATCCATTTCTCGGGCTTGGGACCTCGGAATCCGATTCCGGGCATACGCCCAAGTTCCATATTTTCTTACGGAACTCCCGGGATCGTTAGAACACGGATCCGGGTCTGTTTGCTCAAAATGTTGACCGAAGTCAACTTAAACTTATTTTAAAGGCAAAATTCATCATTTTCCACAGATTTTCATATAATGGCTTTCCGGCTACGCGCCGGGACTGCGCATGCAAATCGAGGTGAGGTAAAAAGGAGGGTTTTTAGGCCTCGAAATGCTGAATTTATTTCTAAAACAAGTGATGACAAGGTCATCACAATTGAATTTATGGAGTTTTATGAATTTGAGAGTTTTATCATTATGTTATCTTGTTAGTGTACACGGTAAAAATCGGGGCTACCTGATATCGTGGACTCGAGGGTTACTCCAAGAGAGAAATCGAAATAGACCATGAGTGAGCTCGATGGGAGGCTTCGAAGATCGAAGTACCTGATGGACACCGAGGCCAAGTATGACCGACCTCGAGATAATATTGTTATGATCCCATAACAGAAAGAGCAATATTTCTGCAATGACCCCGGGATCATGGCATAAAATCCGGAACGAATCCGTACTTAGGTGGTTAGACACGTGTCCCAATAAGATTCCTTATTATAAATTGAAATGTACTTTATTTAGGGTTCCCCCATTATATAAAAGGGACCCCAATCATTTGTAAAGATCATCTAACCACTGGC